AGCGTGATGGCATCATATAAAGGAGTCGGTGGAAAACAAATACTGTAGCGGGACGACGTCTTTACGGACGGGTTCCCTCTTCCTTGATTTATGTATAATATTTATATACCGAGCTGAAGTTTCAGTTTAGCCATTGACTACAAAATACTTCAAACTACAATATATTAAAACAGTTAATCTATGAGTTCAGCTCCAAAAATTAAATTGTCACGTCATCTCTCCAATTATTAACTATATAAACGTATTTATTGGTTTATAGTAAACCCTGTTGAATTTTAATTTAAAAAAAAAAGACAATTTTAGGTTGCTATAAGTTGGACATTATTTAGGCAACACGATACGTGGAAGTATAGTCAAGGTCACGAATAAGACGTCGCCTGGAGCTTAAATTTACTACTGTCCTATTTCTGTTTGATATGTATTTGAGAAAGGGTTTTGGTTTTATGATGATTTGATAGGTCTAAGACTACGAAATATTTTTAAACCACTGAAAAAACTCTATCGTTTAGAATATTTGATAGACTTGGTGTATTGAAAAGTCTACAGTAGTATTAGTATACACTCCTTCTCAAACATTAAAAAATCTCTCTACATAAAATATATCAGAATTCGACCGACTTTTTGAAACAATTGTTATGTTCATTTCACTGAAGACTAAAAAAAAACACCTAGTTGTTGAAAAGTAGTCGTTACAAAATGTCATCAATTTGGTACAATTTTGACAACCACAGCCACAGTAGGTCATTCTGGGCATATTGTATATTATTATTATTATTACTATAGTTTATACTTGTCCGACAGTTTTTCCCGTGAAATAGCGATGATACCATCGATTCGGCCAACATGTCCGTGTAATAAGGCGATTTTAATAATAAAAATGTTTAAAAAAAAAGTTAAATTTCGTCTGAATGGTCGAACAAAATATCCTTGGATACGGGTATAATATGTAGGTACAACTCATAAAATATTTATCACGTTATTCACTTACCTATAGTGCAGTAATAAAACTGTATAAGTATCCACTGGTAATTTTGAAAACAAAAACCGAGAGAAACTCTGATTAATAGACTTATACATGCAACCGTAGTTGTAATTATTGTTGTTGTTGTTGTTGTTGTAAATGACCTTTGGTGGAATTCGGAAATCCGGGCTGTCGGTTGAGACGAGAACATAGGTACACGTTTATTTCCGATGGTAATTGTGGCTTATTGGGATTTTCACATTCCTATCAGCGTGACTGTATAGATATAATAATATGACAACCCGTAAACCAGCCAGACAGCTCTTACTTTTCGAAAAAGTGGGTACAACCACGCGTTTGGTTTTGAGGAGGTCAGAATCCTCTTGTAGGTCCGATTACCGGCCACCCGTTGTCAACGCCCTAAGTATTCAGACCATTCACTTCTGTAAAAGCAAAAGAAAAATACAACATAATAACACAATACTGCTTGTTGCTGACATTTGTAAAAAAGTTTTCGAAAATGACATTAAATATAAACAATTTCTTTAACAAACTATAATACTTTCATCACATTATGCCATTTTAATTATCTCAAAAATAAGACGTCCAGTTTCAAAAGCAGTTATGAAAATGTTCACAAACAACAAATAATTTCTTCAGTAGGGTGATTTCGAAGCCAACTAGAATTTAACCAACACAGTTTAACCAACAGTTTGAGTTAGTTATACTCTTTATTTTATATTCAATATAATAGTTTTACATATGTACCATATAATGCAGTGTAGCCACTAAAAAAAAAAATCACGTTTAAAAAATTTCTTTTAGCTGGTTTTGAAACTAGACGCCTCAAATGTGATCGATTTTTTTGTGTCAAGTAATTAATTTTAATTTCCCTAAATTATTCAGTTGTTAGTTATTTTAATAAATGATTTAAATATAGTACGTTCAAGGTTGTTAGGAAACATTAAACTCAAAAACTTCGTAAATATGATACGTATTATGTTAATTATTTTGAAATACTTTATGTTAATAAAATATAATTATAACTTTAGTTTAAATATATATTTTTCAATTTACATATTATACTTAGCTATAGAATATTTAAAAAAATTAAATTTGAAAAAAAAACAGAAATTGAAAATTTATATTTTGACTTAAATGTTAACGACGAACACCACATACACCTTTTTTAGAACGGCTTTTAACCTTCACGCCTCGTGTACTTAAGTCATAACCACGATAATAGTTCACTCATAATTGGTTTAACGTTATACCTAAATACCAAGAAAGAATCTTAAAAAAAAAATTTTTAATTATTATTATTATGTTGTGGTAATAAAACTGAAACAAACTGCCGAGCTCTGATACCGAATGAAATACATATATACAAATTATCCACATCTAACTTCTTTCGTTTACAATTCTGCACATTTTGTCGATCTTATCGGTTGAATTTGAATTGGAAGAGTGTACATCTATATTGGTACATTAAAATGTAGACAAATTGTAGACACACTTAACATCACATCAACCTTAAAGTATTCTATTTCCGGTTCTTAAATAAACTATAATGAATAAAATACAGACTTAACACTGCGTGGGAGTCTTTTTAAATCTATGAAGTGTGAACGTTTAAAAGATATGAAAATTGCGGTCTATGACAGGTTTCTTTTGGCAGCAATTGTTTTTAGGCCAAGGTCGTGACGGTGGTAGTCTGTTGTCGGCGCAGTGTGCTGTCGGTGAACCGGTTTGGTGAAATATAATAATATATATAACATTATATTATATACATATATATATTCTACATAAAGAGAATAAACATCCGATGAATAACATTAACAACAGATTTGCGCGCTTATTAACAGTCAGTAATTCGGTCAATTTTATAGAAAAATGATCTTACAATTTCAATTTCATATTAGATGATTTTTAGTGAATGCATATAAGAATAGTACAATCTATAGAAAAAAGAAAATAATATCTAAAACCATTCAATTCTCTCAAACGATCAAATTATATTAAAAGTGAATAAAGCATAAATCCTAACTTGATAAATTATTTTTACGGTTTAAATTCTAAGACTACATTTATCAATATCGTAAATGATCTATAGATAAAATTAAAAATAGTCTTGTGTTTAGTCCTAACTAAAGGGCGCGCGCAGGTAAAAATTCAGGGGGGAGGGGAGGGGCCGCTTATAATTTTGTAATGGATTTTGCGAATTTAGGACATTGGATATACTTTTTTTAGCTTGCATAGAAGATAAGGGAAGTTGTCCCTCCTGCCCCTCCCAGTGGGCGCCCTTACTTTCTACAATCTAAATAATATTATATGAGTCCCATGATCTAATAAACTATTAGCGAACACTAAAAACAACTACAATTAATTTCAGTTAGTTGTTACTTGATTTGTCAGTTATATATATTTTGTTAATCAAAGGGAGTAATATATACAAAAGATGTGTGTAGTTCAACTTTCAATAATGAAGCCCCATACTTAATGTAATTAAATTAGATCAAATAGCATTAAATTAAATTAAACTAACGGGGCTGTTATATTAAGTACTGTTTATATTAGTTTGTTTCACTCGTAAAAATTGTCTGTTTACGCATGTTATTAAAATACTATGGCATGCTATTATTTTAATGTTAATATTATAGTAAATATACCATTTGAATCGCTTTTTGTTAAAAGGGCATATGTTAGATTTTTTGTTAATTTTTTTTGCAACTTTCAACTAGTATAAACTTGAATTAAATATTTTTACAGAATCGAAATTTGGTATAAATGTCGAGTACCATGCACATCATAATGCACATAAAAAAAATTATTTACAAAGTTACCACATTTTGGAGGCTGTGCAGTTTTTTATCATTTCCCAAAAGTTCACCTGTTGAAACATATGTCTTTTTAACAAAGAGCGATTCATTTGAAACTTTGATTTTTAAATAACATGATACATTTTGTTTTTAAACTACCTATATAATTTTTCACTTTCTCACTTATAATTAACACTATACCCACTCTATTAATTGCAAATATGATACAGTTATTACTATCAAGTATCGTGCGTTGGGGTCACGGTAAGTCGTGAATTGAATACCAACCTAGTAAATACAATATTTATATGGTGTAAACGTATTTAATTTAACCGAAGGGTGTGCATCCGGGATGTTTGTTGAACACCCAACACGGTCACCAGGTCAACAACAGTCGCAACGTCATGGTTAGTTTTCCCGTTCCGCCCGAGTATCTATTACTGACAGTCTATATTATATATATATAATATGCGTTTTCTATTCTTTAACATTGGTACATGCCTATTGGCTACTTTATATCTTGGCCTGTAGGCTGTGTACAAAATTAAGTGCATGAAATATATTTATATATACCCTATGTTACATAAAAACATTGAGTATACATTTCACTATAAAAACACGACTTATTAGTAGCACGCATATTATAAACTCAAATTTTTTACACACACACGACAACCTTTATTAACTGTTGCATATTACTTACTACTTAGACGAGTAAAGCATTTAAGCATTTATATGTTAATCGTGTACAATATTATCTTCCTTTTAAAAAAAACAGGGTATAAAATTATTTTGGACATTGCTCAATTTATGCAATAAAGTTTCATTTAGGTTTTAATATTTCTGTATCTCCAAAATATCTATGTCAATCTATTACCTCTCTAGCCACTATTATTTTCTGAATTTATTTAACTGTTGACCTAAAGTTCATATCGACATTATCAGAATCTATTATAATTAAACAACTTGTTTCAACAATTAAAACAAATTATTGATGACAGGACTTCATTGTTAAAAAAAAGAAGAACGTTAATTAGTAAAACTAGGGATAGCTATTTGTATTTTATCATACAAGGTCAAATGTTAATTAATTTCACTCAATATCAGTTATATAACATTTCTCATAAGAAAATATAAGCATTTTTTTAGGTTTTATCGACTAAAAAAAAAATTGTTATTCGTATCTAAACGTTATTAGATTAGATTATTTTTATGTAAACCTACTTAGGTAATACAGTTTGTGCTAACACGAAGTCTACTCACAAAGAAAATACTCGCCCAAGTTCGCTGTAGACTGTGTAGGTAAAATAAATAAAAATAATCACATCAAGTCTATAATGGAGCTTGAGAATCAAGTCGCTTTAGTTACTGGCGCTGCGTCTGGAATTGGTTATGCCTACACCAAGTACTTACTTCAGAATAATGTGAAGGTATACACTATACCTAGTATAGAGTACCTACTTTTGAAAGTTGGATTAGATCAACTGGTTGACACCCATAAAAACGTTACTTTTGTTAAATAAAATTATGTTTTTTTTAGGTGGCACTTTGTGATATAAATATCAAGCAATGTCAATCGGTTGCCGACGAATTTGCACAAATATATGGACACGTTAGCGTTTTAGCGTTACAATGTGATGTCACTAGTGAAGTAGTATTTGAAAGTAATTATGAGTTACATTTTTTTTTATTGTAATTTCTATGTGTAAGGTAATTGGCTACTAAGATTTTTGGCGATAAAGTTTAGAAAATAAAGAAAACTTTAATTTATACCAGAATCTGTTTTTATGTCTCCTATTATAAAAACTTTTTACATTTTTGTTTAATTTTAAAAAATGTATACATACATTTTATTAAAATGTAATATTTTTTAAATCTTTGTCTTTTTAAACTTAGAAATTAAGTCTGATGGTAGATTTATGAATTCATTATCGTTTCACAGGACATACAATTTAAACAAAAATCGAAGTTTAGTAAAACAACTGAGCTGTTTTTTCTATTTGCAAGAATTTAGCCCAACAAATATTTATAGCTTTAATAGATTAACATAAAGTACTTACAATATAAACTCAAGATGACGTTTTTTTTATAAGAGACAAGAGAACCACATACACGTGGAAATCATTTTTATTAAATAAAAATAAGAACCAAATTCCCCGATTTAAGAAAATACATGTATTAATGTTTGTTAATACATGTTATTACTATATTGAATCCTTGTAATTTACACAGTGCGTATTATGATCAGTGACCACTTCCCGGTAGCAATGTAGTCTAATCAACGTGTCTCTTGTCCGTACCCTTCATGGGCCTAATTTTTGTTTGTTTATTGATTGTCGACTATACAAAGTGATCATCTGATGTAAGACACTCATTTTTTTTGAAAATATGAATTTTTTTTCTCGAGAAAATGAGTAGGTACATATTTTGCTATATTTTCCAACATTAGTTGGCTCCTGAACCTTCAGAATTTCCGAACACGAGTCCTATGTTAGGTGGTCTCAATTTGATTGATTTACACAAACCCCGTAAATCGTAATATTGACAATAGTGTTTTTGTGTTTCGAATCTTGAATGTTATTGAGCTACTAGCTTAAGCATATAACAGTTATTGATTCTATTCTTCATTCTCTATATAGTTTATTCATTTTATGACGTGTTAACTGTTAATAAACGTATTTACATAACCTTAATTCAAAATCAATGATTCTTAATTGTGTCTAACGTTAATCCTCGTGCATCACAACATTCTTATAATTAAATACTCCCATCTCTTCCCGATGCGGAGATAAATAGATATTTTTAGTGCTTGCCATTATAACTTAAAATTACACATGCATTTATTTTCTAGACGCATTTATATCGTGTATAAACCACTTTAAGAGATTGGACATTGTCGTAAATAACGCGGGCATGTTTAACGAAACAATGGAAAAGTGGGCGGCCACGATGAATGTCAACTATGTAACGCGAAAGTCTATGATTTTTAACTACATCTAATACCAAAACATGGTAAAACAGTGGAAATCACAGGACAGATTTGTTTCAGGGAGGTGTGGTGAGGGGCACTATGTTGGCGATCAAGTATATGGGCGCTCCGTACGGCGGCAAGGGAGGAACTGTTGTGCAGACTGCTTCCATAGCCGCCTTTATTGGAGTCGCAAACATAGCCCCAATGTACAGGTCTACAAAACGGGCCGTCGTAGAATTCACTAGAGCGATTGGCGTAATAATTTATTTTGTTTTATCACCATTTTAACACTTATACATAAGACCAACTTTATGCAAAAGGACAAGAAAACATTCGAGCATTTGAACGTAAGGATTATGGCACTATGTCCGGGATACGTGCAAACGCCTTTTATTGAAGGCGACAGGTCCAGTCTCTACTTGATTAAAGAATTTGGTAAAAAAGGAAAAGAAGCTATTGAAACGTATCCAGTGCAAAGGTATACATTTTTATGCAGTTCGAATTATGTTTTAATAAAAAAACGCAACGTTATTTCTTTCAGTTCCGAGAGTGTGGCCAAAGGGTTAATCGAAATATTGAAGCACGGTAGTACCGGCGACTGTTGGATTGTCGAGAACGATGAAAAACCGCGACCAGCCAACTTACCCGACATACCATACTAATACAATAATAGTTGAAATGTATACTTTGTAGTGAGTTTGTTAACGGAAATTGATTTAACAGTTATAATATAATTTGTTTTAAAAAATTGGAGGACGCGGGGCAAAACTACGGCAGTGCCTACTTCATAGCAGAGACGTCTTTACATTTTTAGCGCCCTTCTATAAGAACAAGTATGCATCCTCAGAATTCAGATTTAATAGTTTTTTAAAAAATGCGTTTGTTTTCAATAAATATTATAAATGTTTAACTTTAAGTAAATTAAGAAAATAAAATAAATAAAAATATTTAATTTTTTGACGTGAATTTTGTTTTGCAAATATATTATTAATATCATCATTGTTTATATTATACTCGTATTATGGTATTTGCACATAATTGTTGCAGATAACTTATTTAGATGATCGTCAGTCATTCTTGATATTGTATAAGATTTACCTCGCTTCAGTGCAGTCACAAATCTCTCGGCTGAACAACTTAAATTTAAGCAGCAGATACATTTACATCCTTATTGATAAGGTCACAGACCATAGTTAGTATAGTTTCTCAGTCCTGATCATTTTACAAGTATCGATTATAGTTATAGATAATTAATTTATAGATACATTCAATAACTTCTGAATTCAATACATTCATAAAAATGTAGCAAATGAAGAAAAAATATAATTTCTATACATGTTTTGCAGTATTTCCACTTTTTTAAAATTCTGATGGTTAAATTAGTAAAAAGTAAATAGTTACATTTTTTATTAGATTCGTCATAGTATGTTTTTCTTCTTTCTAGTTCTGAATGTGTTGTCATAAAAGTATACAGGTCCTAAAGTCCTATTAATCTTAAACGAGTCTCGGATTTCAAAATGTAATTCTTCTTCTCTTTCTTAAAAACCAATAGGTAGCAATATTAAAAAATAGTTTCTGTTGGGTAGTTATCGATTTTCGTCAAGAGTTCATTCTTGAATAAACTTAATTTTATTACTTTTTCAGGTAACTGTTTTGATCACAATTAATTATAAATCCTATATAACTGAAATTACAATTTAGAAAATAAGGTAATGGACTTCAACCATTACTGTCAATACCTTCTACTGTATTAGGAAATCGTAATTAGAAATATATATATATATATATCACATCTTAGATAAACAAATATTGTTATTTTGTACTAAAAAGTTTAAGTAATTATTTCTGAGTAAGCAAGTAAAGAAGATAATTAATATACTATGGTTACTGGTTGCATAATCTGTGTTTTGTCCATACGTTATCTTCAGAATTTTTTTTTTTAATCCATTTTAATTGTATACATACTAAATTATTTTGAAATATTATTAGTTTTCTTCTTTTTGTTATAACACAATTTAAACTAGAAAATACATAAGTTATGATAAAAAATAAAAACTCAAGAAATTTAAGTTCACATTTATTAGTCAATAGCACATAATAAATGCTCTTATTTTATCATATATGATAGCAAGGAGTTCACATTGAAAAGGGGCGCATTTGTATAATATATAGTATAGTATATATATATATATATATATATATATATACTATATATATATATATATATATTAATAATAATAATAGTGAATTAATTACAAACAAATATTACGTATCTTTTTTTTTTTTAATATCTACATATGCTACTGAATAAACACATATTTTATGACTTATGTTATACATAATATATATTTAAATCAGGCTTTTTCAAATGAATTCAAAAAACCAGAACCACACAGTTAAATCATTTGTTTATAATAAGTTAGCTAATCTAAAAAAAAAAGATCTTGAAAAGTAGTTTTAACATTAGTTAAATCTTAAGTTTTAACAAGACATGATATTTATATTTTCTCATAAGATTAATATTTCTATAGTCTTTTTTTTTTTTACATAAAAATATATAATAATACAATATGTATGTCTTTTAAATCTAATATAATTTTTAACAGAGGTTAGCACATGATGAGAAATTAGATTATGCTGCCCCCATTGTTTTTTTGTGTAAATACTAAAAACACAATCCGTCATAATTTAAAGTCCGCTGAACTCCCACATGACTAGCTTATAATAATATATTATGTCTTTGTTATTGCCACAGTAAAAAAATACAAATTTAGTAGGCGGTTTATAATGGAAAACAATGTTTTTATTTTCAACATTTTTTCCCAGTACCAATCTGGCAATTTGCATTAAAACACATTTTATTTGTTGCTACCAATATGTATAAGTTGAGGGAGAAATAATAACGTAATAATATTAATAGTACCTAATATTTACATAAAAAAAGGTATATAATAATAAGTCAATCCCTACAGTGTTCTCTACTGATATAGTATTTACAATATTTTTTTTATACATTCAATAAGTGAAAATTAAAATATACGAGTTATAAATTTATTCTTATCTAGATTTATTTAACAAAAATTGGAGAGTGAACTACTTAACAGAAAGTACAAAAAAATATATAATAAAAAAATAAAAATTGATCACAATAAATAAATGAGGCAGTAATATAGAGGAATGATACAATAGTGATGCGTTTTCCTTTTGAGCGCAAACAGCGTCTTACACATTGCTGATAATAACACTTTAGTTACAATTTATAACAAAGACAAAATAGGTAATATATAATAAGAGAGCAGCAACATTTTTGGATAAAATGTAATGAACATTTTTGTATCACTAAATCTCTTCGTTTAGTTTATTTTGCATAATAACAAGATAGGGGTCACAACTTCTAATTATTTAATAGTCAGTTCTCAACTTACATGTTTTGACTTTTAAATAATTTTAACTAAAATTTTTTTACCTTATTTAAGAAGTTTGAGATTCTGGAGGAGCTCTGAAAATATATTTAAGACATATTTTAGCTTAGCTATGAAAAGGAGGTATTTTTTTATCATTTTATTATAATTTTGTTTTCATTAAAAAATAATTGGCAGTTGATAACTTTTTTTATAATGGAATTTTAATATTTGATTGGGACTTAATCATCATTAAATATTTAAATATGTCAATTTAAATTATTATTTCTTACCCTGGAGGTCCAGATGGCCCGGGATAATAATATGGCGGTGGACGTTCATATTCTGATGAGATCGGATTTTGATACTGAGGCGGTCCACCATTTGAAAAATCCCAAGTTTGTCTAAAATAACAAAAACATTGTAAATTACTAAATTAGAAAAAAAAACAATCATGAACTGGAGTATTACTTTGGTGGAGCTTCAGTCGAACCTCCTTGGACACAAGGGCTAGTGGCTGGCACTACTATATTTGCTCGTCCAAGATGCGCACTATAATCGACAGAACCTCCATGACCAGGGTGTCCAGAATGACGAGAACTCTCATTGGCTGATGTGTTAGCTAGAATTTCTGGATTTGACATATTCTCATAACCCACTGGTATTGCCGATGATCGATTTCCTCTACCTGGTGTTGGTGCTGCTTTCTTTCTGGCCTTATTCCGTCCGTTTTTCTTCTTATTATTCGGGCTATAGAAAACAAATATGAGCAATTTTTAATTAGTAATTATAATGAATGTGATCAATATAAGGGTGATTCAAGAAGAATGAACCAATTCCATGATAAAATATTTTGTAAGTAAATGTATGAATCAAAATGAGGGAGACGCTGTTTGAAAGATTAGGTTTCTAAGTTTCAAATGGTTGCCACGTGACCGCGCCAGGAGCATCGGTCTCCTAAGGTAAACGTTTTCTGTGCTGTATCATGCAACAATGTTTTAGCCAATTTTTCTTCAAACGACACTCTGTTACAGGGAAAACCTACGAGGATATGCTACGAAAACTGGCTTTTCCCTTAAATGGTAGCTGATTCTAATTAATTCATTTTTCAACAAGATGGGGCACCTCCACACTGGAGCTTACCTGTTAGAGCATTTTTTAAATGAAAAACTGCCTCAGCCCTGTAACAGTTTCCCTCGAAGAAAATGGGCCATACATTTTGGTGCAGGATACAGCACAGAAAACGTTTACCTTAGAAGACCAATGCACCTGGTGTGGTCACGTAGCAACCATTTGAAACTTAGAAACCTCACAGTCACTCCCTCGTGTTCTGACTCATACATTTACTTACAAAATATTTGACCATGGAATAGGTTCATTCTTTTTTAATCTCCCTGTATTTCAGAGGATATATTCTCCGAGGAATTAAATATATGCAGTCAGTAGAGGCCTCGTCTTCTTCCATATTTACTTTTTTAAGAAACAATATAGAAAGAGCCTAATACAAGACTACCCCGAAAGCGAATTGAACAAGAAACCATCTCATAATGGCATCATTGGGCCTTTAAGGTTTGTTAAGCTACATAATGATTATACCTTCTGGTTTTAGCACAAAACCTAATAAAAGTCAATGTAAAAATTTGATGTATATGACCATAGTTTTCAAGGTGTTGAGTTAAAAATCAAAAAGTAAAAAAAAATGTTTTGACCAAAAAAAAACAAAAACAAAATTAAAATCTGCATTATAACAACTTCTTTCATTCAAGTTTAGTAAAATATTAAACATTTTATTTTCTTATTAATTATATTAAACCCAGTTTTATCCAAAAAAATCTATCTATGGGAAATTTCTTCCCCATAACCACAAATTGACTTTTGCAATATTCAAAAATTATTACTTTGCTAGAGGAATATTTTCACGATCTGTATGTGCATCATACAAGTACTCCCTAAAATGTATAAACATTATTTATTATTCAAACATATTTTTAAAAATTAAAAACAAATTTTTTAAAACATTACTTACGATTCGACTAATGGCCCGGGGTATCGTTCAGATTTTTGATATAGAGTTGCTAATTTAACACAAAGAATGATAATGGGCATGAAAAGTATACAGCAAATACCTACGCTCATCCAAAAACCATTCTAGAAAACAAAAATATGGAACAGTTTATATTTATTTTTATGGTATTATAAATAATATTCTACACTTACGTATGGATTCAATATTTTTCTACATCCCGCAACAACTGTAGCGTTGTAAGCCTGTGACATGGGCCAGCATTTGCCAACATCTTCTCTTACTTGGTGAACAACTCTTTCCAAATATTGATCAATATGTTTGTTAAACTCTTCTCCGAATTCTTTCGCCAACTAGAAATATAAAAAACAATAATCCATTTAATATTATTATCATCATTTTTCAATTAGTTGACATACTTTAGTAACTAAAGTTGTTCCTTCATTGCGCAAATAATTTTGTGCTTGTTCAACTTCAATTAACAAATGTTCCACGGCATTGCGTAATGATGAATGGTTGAAGCGCAAATGTTCTTGTAACTGATTGGCGGTTGATTCTAACCGTTGACTAATATCAATCATTGCTGTTACGTGATGTCCTTGATGTACTTTAAGATACATAGCTTGGTTGACCAGTGAAAATTTAACCTAATATTTTAGCAAAAAATAGGCATGTTAGTTTAATACATTTTAGAAAACTGTACATTTTTAAACAGACAAGAGAAAACATACGTCTGACGAAGACGGTAATTGAGAAGCTGTTTGATTAAGAGCATTGGCAAGTTGTATTAAATCGATTGATGTAATTTTATCGCCAAGCTAAAAAAATAATTCACAACAAATGTTAAATTTGTTTAAATTTTTATGAAAATTATCAATAGTAAATTTTATAACTTACGACATTAGTGTATGCAGGGAAATTAATATTAGACAAAGGTGATTTCGATAGCCTAATCAATTGCCTTTCTGCTTCTGGTGTCAATATTACGATTTCTCCTTCTAGTTTAATTTTTGAAACTAGTTCATTTATATGTTCGTCAATACCAAAAACATTAGGATAGTCAAGCACTTTGTTGAGATCTACAAGTCTATCCATATTCAATACTTGGAACAAGCTCATGTTTCTATGGCAATCTCTATAAAAGTATTGAAATTATTATTAATATAGTACCTAAAACACTATGAACATTATAATTTTTTTGTAACTAACCGTATGACAGAACTAATAGTAAAATCTGCATTGGCTGGTGCAGGTCTAGCATGACGAAGTTGGTCTTCTGAATTGTGTATAACAGAAATGTCATATAAGCGATTCATTATGTTTAAAACTCTAGAAGGCGTTGGATTTTGCAATGGCTCACAGACAACCCGATCTGTGGTCACACCAGTAACGAAATAGAACAATGCAATTAGCATTAAAAAGGCCGATGACAAAAACATCAACCACACAGCCCTAAGTAGTTGGCATAGCATTAGTTTATTATAAAATGGTTATACAACAAATAATTTATACTAATTCATTTAGTCATACATCATTAAATAAGAAGCACCAGTTCCTTTATTGCAACAATCGTCATGATAGCCACCTATGGGTCGGCTTCCACAAAAACCACAGAACAATCCGAGAGTTAGACACATCAAAATCAAAAACAGTGTGATCGCAACACCCAGACAAACATAATACCTAAAGACCAGATGATTATCCCATAATTAGAAACATGTAAATAAGTATTATTATAAGCATTTTCATCATAAAAACTACATGAATTATTTTACCGATAAGGAGAAAACTCTTTTAATAAACCTTCTCCTTCTTTCATTGGTGCAAAAGACGTAGCAACAGTATTGTCCACGCGATCCAAAACATTATCAACTTTATCGCTATGTTCTTTGATTGCATTTCCAACTTTCCTTATATTTTCTTTTATTGCAGGTATATTATCATTTACTGCATTTTGTATCATTGTTTTGACTTTTTCAAATTGCTGTTGGCCTTTCATTACTTCTTCCTCAATGTCATCAGTTATAAGATCTGATATGTTTTTCAAACTGGCTGTTACGTTTGGCAACTGTAATTTGAACAACTCTGGATTAAAAATAAATCAAAATATTTCATCAAGTAAACTATGTGCTATGAAAATTATCTAAATTAATGGTTTAAATAAATATATACAAATTTAGAACAGGCTAAACATATTTTTTTCAAAATATTCAGTCAACAACAAAAATAATACAAGTAATAAATAAACTACTAGTTCATTATTTAATAAAAAATTAACTATAACAAGAAGTTGTGTTTGTTTGAAGAAAGAAGAAGTGAATTAAATTTTTTCATCTATTTACTAATTTAATACTGTGCAATATAAATAATACCAATGATAAGATACCATTGTGTATACATGTAGTATATTATAAATTAGGTATTTTTAATAAATTCTAAAACATTGTTTTTAATTATTTACATAATATTACAGAAGAATTAATGATAAACAATTAAACTATACGAATAAAAGCAGGTTGACCTGACAGTGCATGTATGGAAAAAACGTTATAAGCCTAAAATACCATTAACCTACCTTTGGAAGGTGGTTGTCTAATATCTGTCCATGGCAAGCAAACAAAAATTATAATATTCAAATATATCATTAATATTTTAAACATACAAATAAATAAGTATACATGTATGGACCATATTAATACATATTTTATTATATTATATATTATAATTTAATTAACAATACAAATAAATGTATGTATAATGTATATACTAATAGTCCAAAAAGCTGAAGGATAACATTAAAGTATTTAACAAAGCAATATGTAGACAAGTAATATTTTTTTCTTATCAATTTGTACTGTGTTTTTTTTACTCAATAATATTTATGGCACAAATTATTATAGTAGGCTTTACTTATTTCTTCTTTTCTTCCTAATTACACAAACATCGATCATGACAATATGGATATTCGAGTTTGTATAATAAATATACGGTATGTATAGTAATACTAGAAAGCTGGGTACAAACACTTTTTGGATAACTGTAAATCTTATACCAATTGCCGGTATATTAATTTTCATTCATATAAATAGCTATTACAGATATCAGTGGCGTAGCTACAGTGGGTGCATGGGAGGCAGTTGCCCCTGGGTACATTATATTTTAGAGCGTTTTGTATGGTTTACTATACACGTTGACATGTAATATAGGGCATAAAAAAGTCTTGTTTCTTGGTGCTTTAGTCTCTAATTACAGCTATATAGCTGTTATATTTAAATAATTGTTGTTCCGTACTAACCTGACTGAAGTTTGCTTCCAAAGAAAGATCTTGAATATTGTATCGATTCAAAAGCTCTCGGCAAGGGCGCTCAAATCTACAAGATTGTAGTTTACTTAATATATATGATCGAGACTCCAACAAAGCTAAAAATAAAAATATGATCATAATATGAGAACGAGGAATTTTTAAAACAGTAAGGGTTAAAAAAACACAAACACACCAGTATCTAATTGTAGAGCTGTCTCTTGTAGTTGTCGAGTTAATAAATCTACATTAGAGAGGTCTTGTTTTATGAGTCCAAGTCCAGTAACAATGGCAGTTAAATTTGATAAAACGGATGCTTTAGACACATCTCCCAATTTCTTTTTAACAATCTCACCACTAGCTGCAATTATTATGGGAAATAAACTGTTTTATGATTGTTATTTATTAGTTATTAGTTTAAAAAAAAAGTATAATAAATACCTTCCAATATATTCGATAAAGTTTCTTCTAGTTCGTTGAAATTAACAACTAATAAATTATCCACTTCCTATAAAATATAAATAATTTAGCTCAAAGTCCTTATAAATAAAATTCAACATTTTTCTTTTTTTTTACAACACATAATAATAAAAAGTTTCTTACTTTTTTTGTGTTATTGATGAACAATCGAGTATCACCTAAAGACTTTTCAACATTTGAAGGCAATTCTTTGACGCCATCTTCTAAGTATTCATTGCTTACAAATGTGCAAACAACACCAAACCTAAAACCACACCCACATGTTTTGCATAAAATTAGAAATCAACTTACAAAAAATAAAATAGAAATTGTACGTACGAAATAAGTATGGTAAAAGATGCCAAGATGATACCATAGAATTGTCGTCTGCAAGAATCGTACTTGGCGTCAAACGGCTGTGATCGAGATCCACAGCCCCCGGCACAGCGACAACAACACAGTGTTAGACCTATAAGAGGCATAAGGACTGCGAAGACTAGTCCACCCATCAAAACTGAGGCGCTGGCCCAATAATGAGTCACCAACGTTGGCCATTCGTCAGAAACTTGAATCGTGTTGCTACCTTCTTCGACATCAATAAGTCCTGATAGAAAATAAATTCTTATGTTAGTATTTTATTTGTATTATAAGTATTATTTTTTTTTATTGTTTTGACATGCATTTATTTTACTGTTTACATACAATAGTATATACATTTTTTTTATCAAAGGGCAATAATATGAAATAATGCTTTTTATTTTAAACTAAACAACTACCATAAGTCGTTTTTTCTCTTTATTTATAAATCTTTGACAACTGGACCATAAGTCTACATTTTTTTATCGAATAATGAGTAGTGTATATTTTTTTAAATTAAATATTAATTGTACGATTATTACTTATTAAGCTAATAATAAGTATAAATCAATCGAGGAATTCATAATAAAAAAAAAAAAAAAAATTGACGCATTTAAAGTTTGATGTTGTAAGCATCAGCTAACAGCCATACAGGGTAATACAGGGTGACCATGAAGAACCCTTTACATTTTGAAAAAAGCTAAATAATATTCATTTTTCAAAAACAAATTTATTTAACTTACATAAAATGTTTGTGGGTGTACGCCATTTACTTCAAGTAGCAAAAAATGAGGTCAGGAAGGGGAGATGTCCGTCTTCCATTAGGCAATTTTCGATTCTTTCGAGGAAGTTCTTCCACACTTGTTCTTATTCTGAATAGAGTATATACGAATTGCTTTCAAATTATCCAAGTACGGGGTTTATGTTGAAAAACTTTGCCCTTTTAATGACCCCACAAAAAAAAATCGCATATGTTTAGGTCGGGGGAGGACATTTTTTTTTTTTTATTCGAAAATTGCCGTAAAATAAATGGCGTACATGGTACATAAGTTAAAAAAAAATGTAATTTTTTACATTTTTAAATGTTAAGGGTTTTTGTAATCACCCTGTATAATATTTGTTTTCTAAATAATAGCTTGGATTGTTTTATGTTTATCCTAAACAGTTCAACAGTCGGAAAAAAGATCATTTTATTTATATACAATAGTGAAAAAAAACTTAGTGGTTAAAAAACGGTTGTACGGACGTGCAGAGCTGATGCACGGCTAGTTATTATTTATACATAATATTGTCTTTGTTGTTTCAAAATATAGAGGAACAGAATTTTAAATTATAATAATATGTTATATTATAGGTAACCATAATAATACAATGCCCTCGGAGATGAACGAAATAACCTTGAGAACACTCCGCACATTAATCAGCTCTAAGTTTGTTTTTATTTGTTGTAATATCTTATACATATATATATATATATATATATAATGCAGTATATATTTTGACACGGTTGGCGAGCATAAAACTAATCAGGAGACATGGTCCAACGCATAACCTATCAATTTAAATGGTGTACTTGTGGGGCTTTTTAATTATTGCTTTTTTTTTGTTTTCTGGTTCACATCAGTAAACAAATTGACATTGAGTACTCACACACAGACATTTGTTTAAAATGTATTACGCAAAAACTATGCCAACACTAATAACGAATTACTACACGAACAATTGGGATAACGGATATCCTCGGCGATTGTATACAAAAGACAGCCGTCGTGCATTATCGGTTCCGGTTTTTTTTTTCATTTTTGTTGGGGGGTCTATTGCAAAGCTGTCGTCAATAGGTATTCACTATTGATGATGCGTCTACTTGTTTATTAGCTGGACCGATTTCTTTGATCAACATCTCGGTATGTTCCCAGATATCACAAGTGTCTAATCGAATGACTAGGTGCACTTAAAGGTACCGGACAGTCGAAAGGATAAACATCGACCCCTCAATAAAAAAAATTAGTATCGGAACAACTTCAGTGATTGGTATTTTCATTTTACAGATAAACGAAAAAATATTACTTAATATGTGAACAACATTAATATGGTTTTTTCACTGGCTGACTTTCTTTCAGAGCAAATACAAATGTACGCTCTTGAATAGTATGTTTTTATATGCTCCTGGAGAGATAAGTCGAGAAAACATGATGTTATCAATTTTTGATTTATAACATTTTTAGTATTTTATATAAGTAAATTCAGCACAATATTCAATAAAAAATATGCTACCATATAAAAAAAAGAGAAATAAACAATGTCTTTACAGTAATTAGGCAGCGTGATGACACACAATAAAATATTTTTTGTTCAACCTTGGGTAAGGCCGCTGGTGAAAATTTAAGGGGCTTGGAATAAAACAAATCCTTAATAAAACTTGAAATTAGCGCTGTTCAAAATACCTACATTTTTAGATGTTTTTTTTTAGTGAGAAATTTGGTGATGACTAATTAAACAATCCTAATTTATACTGACAGTGTTTTTTAAGTACACCTAGACCTCCCTCCTCAAAATTTTCCACAGCGGATAAGGCTGTAGATTTAACGATATATTAACTAGTTCAAGTATATGATATTTAAGACTGATAAAAGTGGGATAAAAATGTGAATTTGCTTTCTCTTTTTAGATGCTCAAAAATGCATTAAGTATACGCTTAAATAGTTGTATTATTATACTATTATATTAGGGCACTGTAAAAAATTAAATCTCGTCTCAGCTTCTATTTAATTAATTCTCTGGATTAGCCGTAGATGGAATATGTGTCGCCTTAGGCATTGAAGCTTACAATTTGAGTTTTAGACCATTCCCAGATGGTGTTAAATTGTTCAATAGGTATGTTTTCTTTTTCTTTGCAACGAATAGTACAGCTATTAATTATCAAATGTCGAGAGCACCCGTGTCTTTGCCATCTAAATAGTAGAATTTTAATGCTAGATCTGCTATACTGCTGTCACGGATGGCATTTGAATGTTATGAAGCCACGGCGAGGCCAGCGACTACCGTGAAAGCGCAGTGTAAAAAATCGATTGGCTCTCGCCAAATACTAAAACCTACTAATCACTATAACATGTACATATTATCAGAAACACAATCGACGGTTTTCATTGGCCAGTCGGTCGACTAATAGTTCAACCATGTAGGCTTCTGTGTGTATATATATATATACACATACAAATTTAGTAAAATACGAGTCTCAGGTCGGTGGTTGTGAACATAGGAACAACACAAAGAAGGCAATTAACTAAATTAACCATTCGAAAACCGCCTTTTTTTTGTATTTTTTTTGTCATGAAAAGTGGTCACGCGTACGCAAATTGGCAACGCACTTCTCTATAGGCAAGCGAAACCCGACTTGGAGGGAAGTGATAAAAACTCCTTCTATATAGTTGTGGCTCCGGAAAGGTATTTGAACTCCAAAAATAATTCGGCGAACTCTTAAACGATTTCATCAGCCTACGATAGGCAAACCGAGTGTTTGATGATGGTCATAACAATAACGAGACGAATTAAATTAACACTTTAATTACAACGACTAAAAACTACATGGGACAGATGAGGGTGATGCTCGTTACTAATTTAAAACAACGAGACGTTATTCTGTACAGCGTGCCACTAGTTTTGTGTTAATAGTTGACTCAGTGGGCTTAATAAGCGGCATTGTCAAATGATAGCCAAAAACGGTAAATGTGTGCACTGAGCACACGAAGGCTAGAACAAAACATAGGATACACATACACGCGTTATGACCGTTTTTGTTCTGTACGCTAAAAAAACAATACTCGAAAAGAGGAGAAAATGTACCGTAGATTAAGAACTCTCTTTTATATTACACGCTGGGATGCAAGTACAAACAAACAAATGCTTTTAATACGTTGTTTAAACGTTCAACAGAAAAAAGCGCTAGCTAATATGTCACCTTTTTAGATTTTTAACAAGACAAATTTTTTTTTAGAAATCCTAAGTCGTTTACTTTATCTAAAATTGTCTGAGGATTACTAACAACCCATTAAAATTAAATAGCAATACAAGATTCCTAAAATGAATAATGATAAAAGTAATTTTATTTTCATTAATTGTTATAGTTTTATATACCTACAGTTAAAAAAAAAAGGTTAAGTCGAGTGTCAACTTTTACTTGCTGGAGAATAAATTCTAAGTTTTATATTAACATTGATTTTTTAAACTCAATACGTATATTATATCATGAGTGTACAGTATAATACTGTACACTCATGAAATTTGTTAATACCTAAAGATTAAGAATAATATGTACTCTTTGTGTTGATGAGAATTTAATATTTCTATGAAAACGTTGTTAATGAGAAATTATTATTATAACATTATTCATGAGTACGAATATTTTTTTATTCAACGAATTCAACAAAAAATATAATGAATTTCGTGAATTATAAGTTATATACAGTAGATTTATACAAAACGATTTTTTGTCAATCACTGCTTGTAAAATAATTATATTTATAGAGTAAAAAAATGTTTGAAAAACTTTTCATAATAATGTCAATTCTAATAATAAAAAAAAAACACAATAATGTAATTATAAGAAGTTATTAGTGTGATGCGTTAAACTATTTACAGAAAGCAGTGAAATATCTTAAAAAAACAATATTTTATAATGTAAATATTATAATATTGCGGATGTTTTCTTCAATAAACAAAGAAACCCGGATACAAAACTAACAAGCCAAAAAATGAGGAAATAATCAACATTATGCTTTTTATTATCATAATATTGTTAATCGTTGTAAGATTTGATGGTTTCTTGGCCGAGAAATGCCATTATAGGTCACGGTAAAACATTTCACCCAGTGGTCTCGTTCCAATCCCATGTCGTCGTAAACTTGATTTTTTTTTCTTTTCGATTGTCTGCAATAGTGAATAGTGCAATAGTGTGTAAATTTACTATCTGACGTGCTGCCAACGGTACGCGTCGACTACATGCCAACCTTTCTAAATCGCAGTCAGTTTGTACATTAAAAAATGAACACACAATGAAAACACGTGTACCAACGCGTGTATAGATAAAATAACTCAGTTTATTATGAAAATATAAAACATCATAGTACAAATAATTGTAAAAAATATTGCAAGTTTCTACAATTATTAAACTAAGTGGTTAAATATTTGAAACACGATATTTTAACTTGTTTATTGTTTTTTTAAACAATATTTTAACAAATATGATTT